AGCGTATTTGAATGCGTGATTTTTTGAATTTTAAATTACATGTAAAATATCTGTTATAAATAAACCAAGTATTTTCTCACCTTTTTTCAATTTGTTCTCCCTCAAAGTGTATAGAAACGATTATTACGGTACAATGCCAAGACGGAATCGACAGAGAAGGCGAAGGATAAATGGGGTATCCAGAAGGAATACTCGTAACTCAATAAACTCACCTATTAATAATGAAGACATGAGACGTATCGTGAACCTTCCTCGTCAACAAATTACATATAATATAGATAATTTGTTGATAATTCACTTTTTCAACGGAAGTTCTTTCTATTGAGTGTTAACTTGGTAGTCAATGATACCTAATAAAAACAAAAGTTGACAGGTGAGAAGAGTCTTACTACGCAAAAAAAATTATAATTTTTTTTATTTAGATTTTAAATGGCTATTTTTTGTATTTTTAACATCAATATCAGATTGGATTTTTTATCAATTTCATGATATAAATCCGTTCTATTCCTTCAGGTCTGGGGCCAATTATCACCTTTCAAGTAGTGAATTAAATATACGTAATTCTTATTAATATTCGGTCTTTCTTCTATATTATTGTATATTTTATTTTTAGAAAAAAAAATGTAAAAGTTAGCTTTTTATAGATCTATAAATTACTAAAAAAAAAGATGATAATAAAATAGAACGATTGATTAAATAATATAATGTCTATTGTTGCATTTCCAAAAAAAGAAGATAGAAAGGAAAAGGAAAGATATAAAGTGAACTGATAGTAGAACGTTTCACTACATTATTGCATATCCAGATGCATATTTTAACATGTGATATCCAAATTTCTAATCGGAAAGATTCCGAAACATATTCACGTGTTATATTACTTTTTTACGCCAAAGAAAATAGTAAACATAATAACATGATTGTAAATAATTTCAGAGTAAATAATACGTAACTTATCACACTTTCCATAGAAACTCATTCACAAATTTTCTTTAATTGTCACTGTCATAAAGGTTTATTTAGTATTTTTATCAATGGGAAACAAACAACTCTAAGATTTTGACTGTTTGACGAAACATTGCACACAAAACAAATGCGCCTCCATTTTTTATAGATATTTTCGGAGCCTTTTAAAAGAAAAAACTTAATGTTCGGTCGGGTACCCGACTCGAATTTATAAATCATAACCGAGACTCGACCCGAACTCGACCATGATATAACGAATTTTTGATTAACTAACTTTATATTATGGTCGGGTCACGAATCAACAAGTTTGATGACCTTAACCCCTTAAATTCGATTCGGGTCAATAACCCGGGTCTGACAGACCCTTTCGGAACACTAAAATGCGTGGATTCACCAACCTAATCATTTCACATAATATATCATGTGACTCAACAAAGAGCCAATAATATTTGAGGAAAGGAGAATATCGGTTTAAAAATCCTGCTGATATTTATAAAGTGGTACAATACAACATTTTGTTATCACCTGCTGCTATTGTTGACGCATTTAAAGAAGGAAAGCTTCGTGATGAATGGAAAGGTAGCGTAAGTTTTAATTCACATTCTGTGCTTCATGACTAAAGATTTTGCGATCTAGAATAATGTATATTTGTGGAATATTATTAATCATACGTAAATTATTAAGATATTATTATAGAAAATATTTCTTTCTGGTCGGTCACAATTTTTGGTCAATTTGAAGTTGCACGTGTTTCCATTTACAGCCGAAGGAGAAAATTTTGCAATGACTAGTGTATTATATTTTGGTAGGACTTACTAAAAATTACATAAAAATGTCATGGAAATGGGTGATTCCGTCATTATAAATTTCAGGTCAAATAACGTATTATTATTTCCAAATTACGCAAAACTTCAATTTTATGCAAGTTCAGCTATTTATATATTCTTCTCACGGCTAAAACTTTAAGAAAAAAGGATTTCCTATCTCTATAGAAAAATAAACCTTCGAAAGTCCAGAAATTCGATGAATTTAGACGTGAAGTGAGTGTATAAAATTTTCGTTAAAAAAAATAAAAGGAAAATTAAGTGAAATTCTCCTTAAAAATAAGAACAAAAAGCAAAGCAATGTACAAATCGAAAATAAGGACGAAATTGATTATTAATTTTTATTATTTTAATAAAATATGAAATACATGTATTCATTATCTATCGTATTTTGCGGTATATAAGCCCTCCTTTTTGCACTTAATGCCGGCCAAGATCCTCATAATTCTGGCCAAAATAGCCCAGGGGTGCTTATTTTTGGGGTGCCTAGTGCTCCTACCGGGTCGGATTCGGTCGGGTTTGGAGAATATATCCGACTCGACCCGGCAAAAATAGAAATGATCCGATTTTAACCCGACCCGAGTATATTTAATTCGAATAACCCGGGTTAAACCCGAAATTTTAGTAATTTTCATTGCTGTATGCTTAGTAATATATCAAAAATATTTTTTCAAACATAATTTCTTCAATAACGCAAGGTAATTGATCTAAAAGATGATCATATAGGTCACACAACTTTTTATTATTAAAATTAAAGCTAAGCACGAATTTAAAGATATCTTCAATTCCTGTTTATTTATTGCTTTATATCTNTATTTGAACTATGAAATCGAAATTGTATCACTTGCTTTAACAGAAATTTGACTATATTTTATGACTGCCAGGACTCTAAACACATGCATGCTCTAATTGTATCTGCTTTAAGACTACATCTTTTTGCAGCTATCAAATCGGTTCCACTGGCAAATACTCTTTCTACTGGAACGCTGGTTGCTTTATTAATTATCAAAATAAACTTATTAGCTAATGTAATATTAATAATTAATAATAATTCATACACATATCTGTAATTGCAAGGTGTCTTTAGCAATTTTCGCTATACTACCTCATTCATCTAACAAAATTATATAAAATTAATTAATATTAACGCGTAATCAATATGTGATCAGTGATTTTAATGATTATCCGAGTCTAATTCGGGTCAAAACCCGAGTCAAGGAAATGAATAACCCGACCCGACGGGTCGGGTCATGCGGGTCACGGGTTATTAAAATTGTTAGTACTGACCCTATTTAAAATTCACTCTGGTTGAATTATCCGGGTTAGACCCGAATTTTGCGGAGCACTAGGGGTGCCTACTAACAGCATAAATTTTTTATAATTTCGGATCGAGAAAATTTATTCTGTTCTACAATTTATCGCGTGATACCCACAGTACTTCACGTGAAATACAGCCAATAATACTACCCGGCGTAGTAACGGGTCTTAATTTATCCAATATAATTAAAATGTAATTTGAATTATTTGATTAGTAAATTTTATCAATACTAATGCAAATTGTTCTCAAATTTTATTAATATTACAGCTGATTTAAAAATGTCGGGACACTTAGCAAATTTTAAGTACTCGGAAATATTTGGTAAAGCTCAAAATAAGATAAAATTATACCACCATTCTCGGAATAAGCTTTATCGAATATTTCCGAGTTCTTTAAAATTTGATAAGTGTCCAGACCTTTTCGAAATCAGCTGTAATGCAAATTAACTAACGTTAACTATATTATTAATGAAATCTTTTATGTTTAGTTACTCACTACTGGTTCGTTACTATTATGTCTCGGTTGCGGGCTGTATAGTTTTTTTTTCTTTTACTAAGTGGAGGTCCGGCTCATTGGGTTTTGGCTCTTCGAGTTGGGCGAAGTTTTATAATGTCAACTTTTTATATTCGTTAAAATAGACTTTGTTTGTATCATTGTATTTCTCTCTTACTAGACACAAAATAAATAAATAAAAATAAATTAAAAGAAAAAATTTTTACTTTAATTAAAAGGACAATGTACTATATTATTATCCGATAGAAAATAATGTAATCATTTTCTATCGGATAAATTTTATATCCGAGAGGCCTCAATGATCATGTATAAATAGTTTAGTAATAGTCTAACAAAGTATAATCTTATCACCTATTTTCTTTCTTTCATTAATTAGCTTATAGAATTGATAATGTATATAAATATAATTTTATTGCGTGTATAAATAATAATGAAATAAATTTCATATTTGATATTGCATATAAAATACTATCGGATAACTATAAAATTTTGCTTTACATGATCCTATGAAATATCGGATATAAATATCGGATATAATATATTATTAGTCTTCTGAAATTAGAAACAATTGCATTTTAAAAATTAACTAATCTCAAACTCATCCCAACCAAGATTTTTGGGTGATCCCATTCAATTGACAATTCTGGCAAATCACCCCCCCGTTTAGGAACTTGAAGTTTTTTGTCACTTAGTTTAGAGTTAGCGTTGCATTTTTAAAATTATGTGTTTAATTAAAAATTTATAAAATTTATATAATTTTTTTTTTTTAAAGAAAAAAAAAATTTTGGGATTTTTGACCGTCAAGAGGATTTGAATTCTGTTTAAACCGGGATTTGGGTTTATCGAGATTTGGTATCGGGATTGTAGACTGTCGATATTATGGGTCCAGTTCAAACCGATATGAAATGATAATATCTAGCCGAGTTATGGCCAGAATTATAATTTCAATTGTACGAACAAAAATATCAGTTTATCACGAAAAAATTTTTATTGTTTATTTATATATACAATTTTTATAAACTATTTACGTAATCAGGTATTTCTATAGCTATTAAAAGATCATTTAATGGCCATTTAGCATCTGCATCTTTTTGAGGATAAAGAAGCTCCTAGATCATTTTATAAAAAATCACAATTGTCGACTGGATGTGATACACTGTGACAAATATTTTACTTTAATTACGTGAATTACGTTTCCGAAGGAATTTACGTAATTCACGTGCACCATAAGAAATCACTAGCACGTGACCATTTTACCGACGGATTACCATCTATTTTTGGAAATGATCTGCATTTTATCACGTGACAGTGATTTCTTATGCATACGATCGAAACGATATATGATATGATATCAATTAAATGTTCAAATTTTCTATGTTCTTCTATTGTATTAAAAAATAAATAAATACAGTGTTTTATTTTTCAAGAATATCCGTGATATATCCGTGATCCTGTTTTTAAACATAAAGTATACCTAATACCGTATTAAGAATATTATAAATTTACGGAATAGCGTTATTTTTTAATTATATTTTATTTACCACCCTCACTAATTATAACAATTTTATTTTCATTATTATTATTTATATTAGATCTCGAATTCTCAAGTAATTCATCATTATTATAAGATTTTGGAATGAAACCCTCGTTTATTATAAATTGAATTACATTACCAATTCCTCCAAACGAACGTCCTATTAAAAATGAATTTTTGATCAATTAATCTAGAATTAAATCACAAATACATATAATGCATATAATGTTTTAATGCATATAATGTTTAATTCTTTACCTATAGTCCCCATAATATAAACCCACGGTTCTTCATTCTGAAATAAAAAAATGAATAAAATAAATAAATATAATCATAAAAAAAATATATATATATATCTAATTTATGTAATGGCATACCAAAACAAGTCTAGCACCTTGAGAAATTGACATAGGAATCCATTGTAAAATGAACATAGTTATATAACTTAAAATTTTTTTTGTAGCCCTTTTTTCAATTTCAGAATATCTTTCTAACGCAGAAATTCCATCAATTCTATCATTATTCGCATTACTTTCATTCCGATTATTACTTCGATCATCTTGATTACTTGGTAATGATAATCTCAAAAAGTTTATAGTTTTATGAATTTTTTTTAATATACTTATATAACAAAATAAGATTATTGTTAATACTATCGTTATAGTAGAAAATAATATTATTGCTGAATTAATTTGTCCTGATTTTGCAGCACACCTACGAAATTAAAAGAATAAATTAGGTAAGTTAAAGACTTGGAAAGATTCAGATAAATTTTAAAAAAGTAAAAATAGCCTACCAATATTCACGTTTACCATTATTTTGTAGATTTATCAATTGAATTATTATACTTCCCGCAATTACAATTAGCCAAAGTTTATAATCATATTTACCATAATTAAAATTGATTTCGCGGCAAATTCGAAGATAGGTAATTACCCTATATAAAGAAAGTATTTTTTTTTTTAAAAAAAAAGATATATATAGAAATAAAAATTAAAAATTTTGACTTACGCTATTACAGCATAAAAACATAAGTTTATCGTAAGAAATGCCCAGTTAAGTGCGCCAATTATTTTACATGGTGTGTCATCCCATACTTGTGCATATATAGCTGTGTGTAACTATTTAAAATTAATCAAAGACAAAGATTTTTAAGAAATCAATGATTTTGAACATACCCTATATTACTTACCATATTTACAAAAAAATTACAATTTATTAAAAAATCTAAAAAAAAAAAAAAAAATAAAGCATTTATGTTAATCAATGAAGTCTGGTCGAAACCCATAATTGTCACATCTCATATTTACTCCGCACTTAACAAAGGTTCCTGTTTCCCTAGTATTATTACTTATTATATGCACTTGCACGTGATATCACAGAGGTGACAATTCGGTTTCAGGATTTCGACATACGACATAATTCTTACCTGTACATGCAGTATAGAAAGGTAATCTATATATTATGGCTAATTTTCTTTTACTATATATCCATTGCTTATAAATCCTATAAAAAACATAAACACATCCGATCAATCCAAATACAATCATCGTCAACGAAAAATCTACTACTAAATGGAAATTATATATATTTTTTGGGCTATCCAATCGATTGTCAATCGCTAAATTAACTTCGGTAAGTAGTAATAGAATGATTATTATCGATATAAATCGATATTTTATAAAAAATTTAATCGAACTTGGTTTAATCATATTCATTGGAATAAAGCTGATAATAAAGGAATTATATACAATATATCGGTAAAAACAGTCGAAAAAAAAAACGTAAAATAAAATATTATGTATAGCTTAAAATGTGTAAATGTGTAAGATATTAATTCATAAAAAGAATCCAAAGAAATTCCTAATTATAAATATTAATTAAGAACTCTAGACATTATGAAGATAAAACCGAAAATTTTTGTGACATTGTAATTTCGTAAACCAGAAAATCAAAGTTTCCCAATAGATATATAAATACTAATTAGTTGTGGCGATGTAAACGTTGTACCAGATAATATTAAAGGATCTGATCTGATTTAGTACTATGTCATTTAGTACTATGTCATTACGATCAGTAAATCCAATAAATATCTACTATTTCATTTCACAAATATATCGTTATTAAAACAAATTCTGACGTAATGCATGTTTGTAACACAAATAGAGCAAATTAGGTTGTAATATTTCCTATTCATTGCTCAGTTATTTTTTCACATTCACTTATTAAGAAAGAAATGCTGGGAAAATTGTCGATACTGGCTTTATGGTTTTGGCGATCAAACATCAAACACTTTGGAGATCTTTGCCCATATTACTAAATACGTTTAATGTATAAAAGGATTGTTCTCATTATTTAATTGACACTATAATTATCGTATATAAGAATAAAAATAGGAAGGAATGTGTTACAAATAGAAGGACCGATATAACCAGTTTTTACCAGTTCTTATAAGATGTTGGCGTAAAATGTGTCTAAATTTAACATATTGATTATACTATAAATCATTGAATGATATATATATAGAGAAATGAGACATATATAGATATATAGTTATATATATATATATATATTAAATTTATTTCGAAATTCTGCAAATGCTATTAGATCTTTTTTATGATATAATTTACGTTATAAAAAATTTTTTTTTTAAATACGATTTAATTAATACTGTTTTATTATATATATACGGATAATACTAGTACATCACTTAGATATTTGTTACACAATACTTTTTTAACTTAATATAAAAGGGATAAAATTTATGCGAATGAAAAGCTACAATTCTGAACTCTATTTGTAACTAGACTATATTTTTAAAAAAAAATTTCTTCAAAAATCCTCGTATGAACAGTGAAGTTGCAAATGGGAATATATGTATTTGTGAATAGGCAATTTATTTTATTTTATTGGTTATTAATATATACAATATCATATGACATCATAATTAAATATTAGCCACTTAATGTATGATAAAATTGTACTACTATTCTGTTTTTTGATAGAAAAAATTTTTATTCGCTAACAAGAAATGATTATTGTTGCAAAATAAGCTCGTTCATTTGGTATTTAAGAACCAGTACGCTATTTTATTTGTATACTTTTTTTTTTTTTTTTTGCTAATTTAAAAATATTATAGGCTTTATTCAAAATAAAAACATATAAAACGTAAAAAATTCGAGACGGACAGAAAAAAATTTTATAGCTGTATGCATTTTTCAGGGCCGGAATTACAATAGCGTGTCAGTCAGTTTCTAAAATGGTAATAAATTTTCAGCCGGCATTATCTTAAAAAGAAATGATATACATTAAAGGTTTAATACGTACAGTAAATAAAAATAAATGAATAATTATTTGAATGGTTTAAAACTCAGACGTTGGCTGAAATGCGTACAAATGCGTAAGTTTAGAAGTTTCAGCTTTGACAATATTAAAAAAAAATTATTACTATGTATACATAAATCACGGGTTTGTACAGTGAGGGTATACGATATTAATGTACGAACTGACTGGTTAACGCTATCACGTGCAAGTGCATAACTCCTAAACTCGGGCCAGTTTGTACGTTAATTTCGTACACCCCCACTGTACGTTAAGGACGCCCCATAAATCATACCCAATACCCCCGGATACTATAAACGGGGGTCGTCTAAAGCAGAGTCAAATCACGTGATTCGATATAATATGAGTGAACTAAGTTTTTTATGAATCAAGTTTAACATAAACTTGAAAATCATAAAATAAATGTATTTTAGCCTGCTCTACGAGTTTACTTAAGGTTAAAAGGTAGATTTTGAATACTGGTTTTCACTTTATATATTAGCAAAAGCTTTTTTGCCGATCATATCCAAAATGGATAGACAAAAATGAAAAGTCAAATAAATCGAAAACGGCATTCAAAACTCATTTTGTCATTCTAAGTAAACTTGCAGAGCAGGCCAAAATACACTTAGTATATATGTTTAAAAGGTCGTATATATATTGCGAAAAATTTTATTTAGAAAATAAATTTTTTTCGAAGTCACGTGATTTGACTCCGCTTTAGACGTCCCCTATAAACGGAAATTTTCTATTTTAAATTTTAATATTTGTTTAATACTTGGGATATAATCCGGAATGTAAAACATATTACGCAATATAAATTCTTGTATCCTCTCTCCAATATACCTCTGGGTACAGGTTCAACCCTCCGAAATTTGCAAGATACTATACCTGGGATACCATGTATGGCCCGTAGATTTAGACAATAAGTACATTATTTATGGGCGGGATAAGACCGTTATAAGGCAACAAAGACAAAATAAATAAATTACTGAGTGTATATGATGTCGATCAAAATAATTTGAATTTTCCACGACATAATATTTGAACTACTACTGTAAATTCATCAAATTAGTTTATGTAAGAGAATTTAACAAACTATACCGTGTATGTATTCATCTTTATAAAAAAAAATAATAATAATAATTTTAATTTCTCATTATCTAAAAATATTTTTTACAATTTAAAGTTTTAAACATTGATGGATTCCGTCGATCTAGATCAGCTGTCAAACAAAGTTTGGCGATATTAAATAATTGGTTCAACCGTGCAACATCTTGCAGAAAGCCACAGTTAGAATGAGGAATATACTATTGAACAATGGTTTGACCAGTACGAAAAATTTTATATGTTTGTTACACAAATTTTTAATCCAAGTTATACATCCAGTTAGATTAATGTAATTTACTTTGTTTATATGGCAAATTTTTATTTGTTTCAAAAATGTTACATAAAAAAATGTTACATAAAAAAAGAAGATTTTATTAATCTGACGCGCTAAAGTTACGTACAAATTACAATATAGCACAGGTATAATCAACCGCAGACTAAGCGATTAAATAAAAACGCCAAATTAATTTTTAATTTATTCCGATTTCAAACTTTATTTATGCCCATTTGTTTTACAAAGAAAAGTTAATAATACATATATTTCTATGACAAGAAAATTTCTTAATATAATCAATATAATCGGAATTTATAAGCAACTTCTGGAAATTAAAGCTGCTAAGAAACAAATAGGATACTATTACGTCAGTCAAAAATGATAGAAAGGTTTCTTTATTTAGTCGTTTCTTATGGTAACTAAACAATAAGCTGAAACACCGAGTTACCGATGTCTATAATACAAATTAATCAAGTAATTTAATTAATCTGTTGGCGTAATTGTGATACAATTATTTATTTTATCCACGCTTAATTAAATTTTTATATAAAAGTGTCGAGTTGAAGCCTTCACTTGAAGCTATCTGCCAAAAAAAAAAAATAAAAAATAGTAATTATATTTGTATATACATTATACATATACTATATAAACAATAAATATATACTAAACGCAATGCCATCTCAAAGAAGACAAAGAAGACAAAGTAGAATATACAGAAGATACAATCGCGATCGGCTTAGCGCGTCCATTAATAATGGCGATACGTTGAGACGCATTGCGAACCTTCCTCAACAAATTACAACTGATCTATTGATGATTCAATTTTTTGGTGGATCTTCTTTCCGTTAACTTTTACATGATGTAAATCAAATATAATTAACAGGTGGGAAATTTTTTTTTTATGGAATTTTATTTATTATTTGCTACAGTATATTTATTATAATTTATATTTCTGTAGATTTATTTTACACTTGTTCCATTAGGCTTGCGTTAGATTGCTTTAAATATGATAGATTTTTATAATGTCAAATTCATTTATTCATTAATATAAGATTAATATAAGCTAACCATCATTAAGAAAGTATTTTCATAAAACCGAGATTTAACAAATTTCGGATACTATGTTTTTATTTATTCTGATATCTTTTAAACTGATAAGAATAATTATAATTTTATTTTCTTTTATCAATTTCCTTTTTTTATTATAATTACAACCGGAATTTTCCTTTAATAAAAACTTTTTTGGAGGGTACCCTCATCATATGCATGAAACGAGTTAAGGGTTGTAACCTCGCACAGAAACGAATAAAATATTCGGTAAATCACGTTAAAACGTTACACAATAAATTATAATAGTAATATGTGTTTTCTACTTATCGATGTAATTATGAAATTAACATAATATTTGAAACTTTATTTTTTTTTTTAAAGCAATAATAATTTCGAACAAATAAAAATTTATACAAATATGAAGAAAATCTAGTCATATCATTAATCATTAATGTCAACGTCTTTCATTTCTTTTATTAACGAAATAACAAGTTATTTTTATTTTTATTTTTAAATTCCATGTGAACAAAGCCACGATACAAATTACAGGGACGAACTATACGTAAGCCTAAAGTAATTCTAAATTAAATCGTGAACCAAACCGCCAAACCTGACAGCGCCACCCTGGTGTCGAAAATGATCCCGTGGAGGGAAGTGCTAAGCACATCCCTCCCACCACGCACTAGAGTAAAAATGGCTACGGAAACAAAGAAAGAAGAGCGAACAGAACCCTATAAAAAATTTTTATTCGAATATTTCCATTATTTCTCCGTGTCTTCCGTAAAAATTCCGTGAAAATGATACATTCATGGATATCCGTGTTAGCGAGATGAAAATTTCCATGATTTAAGGCTAGAAATTCCATGAAAATGATACATTCACGGAAAAAACATGGAAAGATAAAACACGGATCAGATTTTTTACAGGGGAAGCTATAATAAAAAGGAAGTTCTAACATATTCAATCTCACGTATTGTTCTTTCGTCCGTGGACACCACACGTAAATACTTTCAGGTGTGGAATGATGCATAATGTACAGGTCCGGAATTGTTTCTGTCATATTTCTATTCGTGGGCCGGAGTGAGTGGGTAGACGACAGTATCTACTGATTCCTC